GTCAGCACGTAATAAATATTTTGAAGAAAACTAAGGCAGGTTAACTCAGCATTTAAGATTCTGCTTCTCTGAAGCTATTTTAGATGAGGTAGTACGGAAGGCCTCTTTGAAAAACTGATATTGCAGCAGGAATGTAAAAGTGAGTTCTGCCATGTGGCAGAAAAGTGTGCCAGGTAGAGGAAAGGGCAAAGTAGAAATGACCATGGCAAGTTCAAGAAACAGACACATCAGTGAGGCTCAAGAGGACTGAGCAAGGGCACAAGTGGCAGCAGATGAGGGCAGGGTGGTGAGTAGGGTCAGACCCTGGAGGACCCTAAGCACTTCAGTAAGGTGTGGATTTTATTCTGAATGTGATGAGAAGTCGTCATAAGATTTGAAACGGGAAATGTCATGATTTGACCAGTTTTTAAAAGCGTCTGGCTGCTGTGTGGAAAACAGTGTGGCAGGGCACCAGTCAGAAAGTACCCAGGTCATTCTGGTTAGACATGCTGCTGGCTTAAGCCAGGACGCTAACAGCACAAGGAGATGAGACATGGCTGCACTCAGGCTACACTGTGAAGGTGGAACCAAAAGGACAGTGATGCATTACAATGGGGTAGGACAGCAAGATCACAGTAAGGGATGACTGTACGTTCCTTCCTCTTAGCTACTGGGTGAATGCTCTTTACTGAGAAAAGGGGTCTATGAGAACAGAGTTGGGGAAGGAGAAAAAAATAAATCAAGAAATCTACATAGCATATGGAGTGTGCACCTGGACAAAGCTCCCCAGGTGATCTGGATACACCTTTCCCCTGTCCACACACCATCTAGCTGAGAAGCAACCCGTCATTGGAACACAACCTCTCAGAGGACTACATTCCCAGTAAGCAGAGAACATGCAGATTACTCAACTTCTACCCAATGGGAGAGGGCGATTCTTTACCTAGAGAGATGACAGTCTCATAGTTTTCCCGCATTACATCATTGTAGAGGGCCTCCTGAGTGGGATCCAGTAACTCCCATTCTTCCTGGGAAAAATACATGGCCACTTCTTCAAATGTCAACAAGCTCTAAAGAAGACAATGGGCTTCAG